AATTCCCATGTATGGGAGGGATTTCCCCACAGCACCAAGCAATCTCTGACACTAGCTGGGTGTCCTACAATTTAATTCAATTCTGACACTATCCACCAGGAGATGGAGTCAGGTCCCACGGGTTAAGGGCTCAGTCCTACAACATTGCGCTTGCCCCTACTTCAGACACCAAAGGCAAGTCCAGGTTGTCACCTGTGCTTCTGACCGAAGGGCTACAGATTGGAGGTTTCAACAAACCCCTCTTGGGTTCGATTACTTTGCTAGAGCAGCTCACAGAACTCAGAGAAACACTTTACTTACTAGATTACTGGTTTATTATAAAAAAATATAACCCAGGAACAGCCAAATGGAAGGGATGCATAGGGCAAGGTATGGGGAAAGGGTATAGAACTTCCATGCCCTCTCCCAGCACCCCACTCTCCCCAAATCTCCATGTGTTCACCAACCCAGAAGCTCTCCGAACTCTGTCCTTTTGGGTTTTTATGGAGGCTTCATTACCTAGGCATGATCGACTAAATCATTGGTCACTGGCGACTGATTCGACCTCCAGCCCCTCTCCCTTTCCCAGAGGTCAGGGGTAGGACTGAACGTTCCAATCCTCTAAAATTCTCCTGGCAACCAGTCCCCATCCTTAGGGGGAGTCCAAAAGTCACCTCCTTAACACAACAAATGATGCCTCTATCCCTCTCATCGCTTACAACCAAGTGTTTTAGGAACTCTCCCTGAAACTGGAGACCAAGACCAAATATATATTTCTTATTAAAAATCACAATATTGCACGTATATTGAACAGAGAAACCAGAATTAATTACAAAGTAAAATAAGGAATAATTCTATTCCCTAGAGACCAAGGAAAACCATTTAGAATGTAGTTTGCTTAACAAAAATAGACATTATGCATTTTACCCATAGTTTTCCTAACAAAAATAAAAGGCAACAGTCTTCATAGCTGATCAGAATTAATGTTTGTTTTATTTTCCCAACATTTAGATTTAAATATATTACTATCTATGTCATGCTCTGCACCATATAAATGACATTACTATATATATAATATATATATCATGGAATTTTGTTCCTGAAATGCTATATATAAGAATCAGTAGGATGAAATATGTCCTGGATAGTCACATAGCTAAATATATATATATAAAATTAATAAAACATATATAATAAATATAAAATAATACTTTTTAATATATAATAATATACAGTATACATACAAATATATAAAATAAATATATAAATATATATAATAAGACATTATATATATTTAGCTATGTGAACATCCAGGACATATTTAATTTAAAGATGCTTATATTTAGTATTTCATGAACAAAATTGCATGTTTTCTGTACAAATCACTCAAAGTACATAATTTGAAGAGAGATTTCCTTGTAAAACTGTCAGGCTTGTGAATACAGCATTTTGTTGTAATTAATTTCTTTCTTTTTCCTCCACTTACTGACTCTTTGAGAGCAGGGCTCTGACTGTAACAGCTTTGTATTTCCAAGGCCAACCACAGCGTGGCCCACAGCAGATGTCAGTAAATGTTGGCTGAATTATTTCCTTTCTGGGATTGTGGTGCTGCAGTTAGAGAAATGTGCTTTTCCTGTGCGAACAGATATAAAGTACTAGAAAGAAAACTAAATGTGTGTTGCAATTGCACTTCTTTTGAAAGAGAAGAGTGGCTTCTTGACAAAACAATGAGGGAAAGAAAGTGTTCTTGGGCTTTTTCCCCCTCTCAAAAACTATCAAGCAGAACTAAGAGAGAAGTTTATAGTGATAAACACCTACATTAAAAAGGAAGAAATATCTCAAATAAACAACATACCCTTACATCTCAAGGAGGTAGAAAACGAATAAACTAAGCTCAAAATTAGCAGAAAGAAGGAAATAACAAAGATTAGAGTAAAAATAAATGAAATGGAGAACAGAAAAACAGTAGAAACAATCAATGAAACCGAGAGTTTGTTTTTTGAAAAGATAAACAAAGTTGACAAAACCATAGCTAGACTAAGAAAAAAAGAGAGAAGATTCAAATAAATAAATTAGAAATGAAAGAGGAGACATTACAACTGACGTCACAGAAATAAAAAGAATTATAAGCGACTACTATGAACAATTCTACTCCAACAGACTGGAAAGCCTGGAAAAAAAATGAATAAATTCCTAGGAACATACAACTTACCGAGACTGAATCGTGAAGAATTACAAAGTCTGAACAAATTTATAACTAGGAGATTGAATCAGTAATCAATAACTTACCACCAAAGAAAAGTCCTGGACCAGATGGCATCACTGGTGAATTCTGACAAGCATTTAAAGGACTAACACCAATCATTTTCAAACTCTTCCAAAAAATTGAGGAGGAAGGACTACTTCCAAACTCATTTATGAGGCCAGCATGACCCTGGTAGCAAAGCCAGAAAGAAGCATCACAAGAACAAAAACCTACTGGCCAATATTCCTGATAAATATAGACACAAAAATCCTCGATAAAATACTAGCAACAACCAACAGCGTATTAAAAGGATCACATGCATGACCAAGTGGGATTTATCCCTGGAATGCAAAGATGATTCAACATATGAAAATCAATTAACATGATCCACCACATTAACAGGATAAAGGATAAAAATCACATGATCATCTCAAAAGATGTAGAAAAAGCAATTGACAAAGTTCAACATGCTTTCATCATTAAAAACTATCGACAAACTAAGAATAGAAGGAAAGTACCTCCACACAATAAAGGCCATATATGAAAAGCCCACAGCTAACATCAGGCTCAATGGTGAAAAACTGAAAGCTTTCCCTCTAAAACAGGAAGAATACAAGGATGCCCACTTTTGCCACTTCAGTTCAACATAGTACTGGAAGTCTTAGCCAGAGAAATTAGGCAAGAAAAAGAAATCAAATGGCGTGATCTTATATATACATAGAAAATCCTAAAGATTCCATTGAAAAACTGCTAGAAACAAATAAACAAATTCAGTAAAGTTGTAAGATACAAAATCAACATACAAAAATCAGTTGAGTTTCTATATATCAACAATGAACTATCTGAAAAGGAAATTAGGAAAATAATCCTATCTACAGTAGCACCAAAAACAATACAATAAAATACTTAGGAATAAACTTAACTAAGGAGGTGAGAGACTTGTATACCAAAAACTACAAAGCACTGATAAAAGAAATTAAAGGTGACACAAACAAATAGAAAGTTCATAGACTGCAAGGCTTAATACGACTAAAACGTCCATACTACCCAAAGCTATCCTTAGACTCAATGCAATCCCTATCAAAATCCCAACGGCATTTTTCACAGAAATAGGAAAAACAATTCTACAATTCATGTGGAACCACAAAAGATCACAAATATCCAAATCAATCCTGAGAAAAAAGAATAAAGCTGGAGGTATCACACTTCCTGATTTCAAAACATATTACAAAGGCATAGTAATCAAAACAGTATAAAGATAGACATACAGACGAATGGAACATAATAAGGAACTCAGAAATATATCTATGAATATACGGTCAGCTGATCTTTGACAAGGCTGCCAAGAACACACAATGGGGAAAGGATAGTCTCTCCAACAAACAGTGTTAGAAAAACTGGATATCCACATGAAAAAGGATAAAACTGGATCCGTACCTTACACTATACACAGTTATCAATGCAAAATGGATTAAAGACTTAAATGGAAGATCTGAAACCATAAAATTCCTAGAAGTAAACGTAGAGGAAAAGCTTCATGATGTCGGTCTTGGGAATGATTTCGTGGATATGGCACCAATAGTACAGACAATAAAAAAAATAAATAAATAAACAAGTGAGATTACATCAAACCAAAAAGTGTCTGTGCAGCAAATGCAACTATCAACAGAGTGAAAAGGTAACCAGTGGAAAGGGAGAAAATGTTTGGAAACCATATATCCAATATGGGGTTAATTTCCAAATACATAAGAAACTCCTGCAACTCAGTAGTAAAAAATAACTAATAACCTAGTTAAAAAATGGGCTGAGGACTTGAACAGACTTTTCTCCAAAGAAGATATACAAATGGCTAACAGGTATTAAAAAAATGCTCAATGTCACTAATCATCAGGGAAATGCAAATCAAAAGTACAATAAGAGATCACCTCACACCTATCAGGATGTCTGTTATCAAAAATAAATGAAAGATAACAAGTGCTGATGAGGGTATAGAGAAATTGGAACACTTGCACACTGTTGGCGGGAATGCAAAATGGCACAGTCACCATGGAAAATAGTATCGCGCTTCTTCAAAAAATTAAAAATAGAACTACCAGAAGATCCAGCAATCCTACTTCTGGATGTTTATCCAAAAGAATTGAAATCAAGATCTCAAAGAGATAATAGCACTCCTGTGTTGCAGCTCTATTCACAATCGCCGAGATGTGGAAACAACCTAAATGTTCATGGAAGGAGGACTGGATAAAGAAATGTGGTGTATACATACAAGTGAGTACTACTGATCTTTAGAACAAAAGGAAACTCTACAGTGTGTGACAACATGGAGGAACCTGAGGACATTATGCTAAGTGAAATAAGCCATCATAGAAAGACAAATACTGTATGATTCCACTTAAATGAAATACCTAAAATAGTCAAATTCAGAGAATCAGTGAGTAGAATGGTGGTGCCAGGGTCTGGGGGAGGGGGAGTGAGGAGCTACTAATCAATCGGCATTGAGTTTCAGTTAAGCAGGATGGATAAGCTCTAGAGAGCTGCTGTACAACATCGTATCCACAGTCAATAATAGTGCATTATACATTCAAAAGTTTGGTAAGTGGGTAGATCTCATGTTGAGTGTTCTTACCGTAATAATAGGAAAAAGGAGAATAAAGGGCTCAAAAAGCAAAAAAACAAAAATTACCAAACTACCAAACTCAAATTTTCCCACTAAAAAGACTAAATCCCTTTCAGTGGGTCTGAAGTCAAATCATGTTAAAGCAAGTCTAGGACTTACCTCAAAGCTCACAGCTCCATTGTGGTCTGTATCAAACGCGTTGAACAGAAAATGTGCGTATGTTGTAGAGTCTGAAATGTGAAAAGGAAATATCATTAAGTCAGTGTTTCCATATCCTACATAAGACTTGTGCAGCACGCCCAGGCCTCCCTTCATTCAGGAGGTTTGCTCTATCTCCTTGAACTTGTGCTTTCTTCCCAGCTGTCACCTGCTCTCAGTAGAGGTTTGTAATTTGAGATTCAGAGGAGTGAGCTACCTACATAGAGGCCATTGATGATAGATATTCTGTAAGTTTCTGGCTGGAAATATTCTGAACATAGGAGACTTGGGTGATGTTATTGACACTGGGACGACTAATGATACCATAAATGGGTGTGAGGATTAAGTGAGATGCATCTGGAAACAGCTTGGTGCTTGACAGGGACCATCTCTAGAAGTAAAATAATGAAAATAATAATAATGAGACAGAGATCAATTGCTATTGTTAGTGTTGTTATTGTTAGTTCATTTGTCATTTTTACAACTCAGATAAGGATAGTGGGACTCAGAGAGGCTGAGAAACTTACCCAAAGTCACACAGTTAATAAGGAGTAGAATGGGACACAACTCAAGTCTTTCTCACTGAAAGACCAGGCTAGCCGCCACAGCAGGAAAGTTGCCTGATGAATTGGGAACAGTGGTGACTTGGGAAGTTTCTGTGGCATGTTGGAAGGGGATTGTGTGGTCCTAAAGGTTCCCAGTTACATGCAGCAGGGAGCTCCTGCTCTGCTGAGGTCTGGGGTGGGATTTGAGGCTTTGGGTGACTGTAGGTTGTTTTAGATGGCGCTTTGTCCCCAACGCTCATGAGGCCGCCTAATAACACTGAAATCCACCACTGCCTCGTAGTTTGCTGCTTGTAGGATTTTTCCTCTAATTTTTTCCTTCCTTCCTCTTCTGCTATTTCTCCTTTGTCGCCTTAATCTCTGAGCTTTGTCTTTTCCTCTGAAAAATATACATTTTTTCTCATTGTTTTCTTTTCTTAGTGCACGGTTTTCATTTTTAAGTGCTTCTGTGCTTGACCCTTGATCAAATTTACTTGATTATTTTAAATGTTTCATCTCATGGGTTTTAGCCTTTTATCTTAACCTTTTTTTATATTAAAAAATTTGCAACCTTTCAGCTTATTGGCTCTAACCTTTTGTCTTTTGTTTAAAATCTCATATATTTCTATTTAATAACTTTTAACCTTTATTTTTATTGGGATTTAACAAAACTTCTTTTCTCCTTTTACTTTATGAATTGCTTTTTAAGGCTGTCAAGAAACTAAGTCATAGTAGCAGGAATATAGAAACGTCTTCCCCAAATAAAGGAGGTCAGAGGTCAAACAACTTTTCTCCCAGCTCTCAAGTGACCATGGCCTACTTATAGATTGTTTTTCCTGCATGCTTCACCCCAGTGGTAAACTCTATAGAAGACCAGATATTTCACAAGGTAGACCGTATCCTCAGTTTCTCAAAATGATGGTGCATTTTCTTTCACCTTTTACCTTTAAATATGATATGAGAAACCTCTTGTTTTTAAATATGTAAATTATTAATACTGTTTTTGACGAATTAAACAGGCACCACAATTGGGTATAAATAATATGTCAAACAATTATATCTGGAGTGGATGTCTGTCTAGCATTGATGGATTGTAGGAAGATATCTTTTTGAAATATGGGACCAGGGGTTTAATTGTAATCAACTTAGTGTGATTGTTGGGAAGTTCCCTCATAAAGAATTGGAAGTCTATTTTTATTTATAAAGTTATTTTGCTCTCAACAGTACTTTCAAACAGACTTTCTTGAACTATTTATTGCCCTATGGAGATGTGAGTTGACAGGTGGTAGGTTAAACTTATTTTCAGGGGAGAAAAATAAGAGAGTTTGCATATTTTATAAACACCTTCATTAAGCAGGTCTCTTGCTACCCTATTAATACAATCAGGGTAAATGTTTTTACCTTAGCAAGCAGAACAGACCATGTTGGCAATTCTTTTAAATTTAAAAAACAAGATAACATGAGCATACAATAATTACCATTCTTCTCAAAGGGGGTTGCTCTAGCTTTAAAACTTGACACATGGGACATACACTCTCAAGGCTTGAACTTATGTGGTACAGAGGACTTCTTGTGCCTCTAAATGTACCTTGGCAATTCTCCTGGATGTTAAGCCAGTTTTCCAGCCTAGACATACTGTGCAGAGAATGGTTGTCCATAGCATAGGGGAGTCGGACTGCCAGAATTTGAATCTCAGCTCTACCAAATATTAACTGCACGATCTGGGGAAAGTTGCTTAACCGCTCTGTAACTCAGTTTCCTCATCTACAAAATGATAACAATAACCAGTATGTACTTCATGGAACCATCATGAAAAGATTAAATAAGATGCCATATGCAAAGTGCTTGGATCAGTCCTAGGCACATATTAATGTTCAATAAAACAATAGCTATTATTATTATTCTTTCATAGATAATCCACTCTTATTTCAAGTGCCTTATAGAAACGTGATCAACTTTTTTACAGATGTAATACATTTTCACCCAAAAATGTTCCTATTTTTTGTGAAATCCCTATTTTGTGTCTAAGAGACTGGAGTTCTAATATGATGCAACTTCATGCTCAATAAAGACTAGCAGAATTGTGTCGTAAAAGGCATTGAGGTTTCTGATAGAGTTTGGATTTCTTCTGGCAGACATTTGGAGACTGAAAGTTTTTAAAGGAGAGGAGTGATGCTACTAGCCTCAAGTGAGAGGAAGGAGCTAAGGCACTGGAAGTGTCTGGCTGGGCACAGAGGTGGGTGCATGAAGAAAAGGGAAACTGCCCACAGAAGCTTTTATGGTCTGCTTTCATCTGGCTGTTTTCTTTTCAACAAAATAACATTTGTTTAACAAAATAAATATTTGTTAAAAGGATGAATAACTTGTATGCTGGATTCTAGAATTCAGTACAGTTTGGGGCTCAAAAGATAGCCATTGTCTCTCTTCTTCCCACAAGACATGATGGTCTTCTTTGACTAAATTTGCTCATACATAACAAAAATAGTTACTGAATTTGATATGCCAAGATTGCCTCAGTTTCTTATTATTTCACTTGTGAAGTTTAAAATTAAATGTTAAAGTTTTACAGTTGGGGGACAAAATGTATTGAGTCTTAGGACAGAAGAGATCTTGGATGTCAACTGTTTATCAATGTTTAACAAAGATGGAAGACAGGTGTAGGTACTTTTAGTGACTTAGCAAGGTCACCTAGTTAATGGTAGAGTCTGTAATGAAATCAAGACATTCCAACAGCAACTCTTGAAAATAAAGGATCTTAGAATAGGAAGAAGACTGGGAATTCCTTCATGCCACATTTTATAAGTGTTATGAAAATGCTGTTCCACATTTTGCAGAGGAAAAACCTGAGGCCAAGAGAAATAAACCATTTGAGTCACATACCTTGATGGTGGCAGAGTCCATGCACAAACCCAGGACTCTCAGCTTAGTCCAACATTGTTAACCCAATTATTTCCAGACCACAATGATGATACCAACTAAACCCTTGACTGAAAAAAGCTATCGATACATGTACATTTCAGAGTATTTGAACAAATGCACTTGATTATCATGTGCCAGGTCTGTGGATTGAAATCAGTCTGGTTGATTTCTTTCTTCCCACCTTAAATACCTAGTCTTGCCTGAATTTAAGCACAAGGGATGGAATTAGTTGAATGCATTTGAATATACAATTCATGGTACTGTTACTATAGTATGGCAGGCTTAGATACTTGAATAGTGGTTTCTGTTCAATAAGTCCTCCACAAATCACCCTGAAAATTCTTAAAACTATTGCCATAGGACAAGAAGGATATTCAGTGGGTGGAGTTATTTTAAAGTAAAAAAAAAAAACTTTATGTCCATAGAAGCCGTCTAAGCGCCTTGCACTCAGCAGCTGCTCGATAAATGTTTAATGACTTAGAGTCTTCTGACTGGAGTTCATTCGTACATTCTTTCAATAGCTGTTTATCAGGTGCTTGGTGTAGTCAAAAAGTAAGTGCAAAATTCCAACATGACCAGGAGTAGCCCAGAAAACTGCAATTTTCATGAGCTTTTAAAATGCTTTGTGAGCTAACAGCTTCCACACTAAAGCTTCCACTGTTTGTGGAGTTGAAAAACTATTGCTGCAAGATACAGGTAACAGCGCCTACCAGCCATTTCCTTTCAGCTTGTTTTATAGAGGGCATACTTGATCCCCTACAAACAAGAAGCTTCTGTTTAGTCCAGTTGTGCTGACATATAGAACACCAAACAAGTTGTGCTTGGTAAACCATCTTGCTAAGCGGTAGAGAAAACTAAGAGTCTGACACGATACAAATTGCAGGAGATTCTGTAGAAAAGACAAAGCATTTTCCTGGAAGAAATGGTGGGATGTTGTGATTTATGGATCCATCATTATTACTGCTCATAATGAGAGAAACCTGTTGCTTTCAGACCACCAACGTAAATAAATGACGCCAGAGAAGTGTGAGGATGGCCATAACATGAATTTGCCTGTCATCAGAGATTACATTCTTCCTTGGGACATTTTCCCATTTCTAGCAGCACTGCAAGATATAATTTGCATGCACCATATTAATGTTTTAAATTGTAAGTCATCATTCTTTAAAATATTTCATTTCCTTCAGTAATGCCTGGTACTTTTAGATTTATGCATTCAATTAACATGAATAATCAAAGAACTTTTGAGTGCAAGAGTGATTTTTCCTCAAATCCCTTTAGATCTTGTAACAAGGATCCTTTGCAAAGCATTGTGCTTAACTAGATGTTCTTTAATGCTGAAATGTTATTTTTCAAATAAAGATAAAATTTTAATGTGGAGCTGTATCCAATTTGTAGCATCTAGTAACTTTCATTTGCAATAAAAAAAAATAAAGATTTCTGCTTGGCCAGATGCTTTGATATTAATAGCTATCACTATGTTGGCAGACACTTAGATATATAGTAAACATGACTTTTATTTAAAAATTCCATGATTCTTAATAATTTAGAAATATATAAGTTAATCAAGTGGTATTCCAAATTCTTTATTGATGCAGAGAATGAGTCCATTACAATCCTGGCATTAGGCCCTATGACCAATGCCTGTCTGTGGGCTGTTAGTGATGAGATGGGGTAGAGAGGGTGTGATCACCAACAACATATTCAAGTTCGTGTAATAATACGTCACCCTGTGTTTTCTCAGAATTCTAATTTAATTCTTTTAAAAGGCTATTTTAAAGAAAAATTTCTATTTTGATAATCCATGCACAAAATTGTCTTCAATCCACTGAAATATCTAAAACCAAATGGATTGAAAGTCAAAAGAGAATCTAATTTTTATGTGAAACAACTGACATTTAAGTGTTGTATACATTCAGAATCCCTTTTAGAAATATTATTCCATCGTACTGGTATAGCCACCGTTATGAGGTGGATGATGTTCACCCATTCATGTACTCATGCATTTATGCAGTAAGTATTTATCGAGTGTGACTATTTGTCGTCACTATTTCAAGACCTGTGGATACAGCAGTGAACGAAACAGACAAAGACCTCTGTTCCCTTGGAGATGACATTCTAGTGAGGAAAGAGACAATGAACAACAACAAAAAGAGGTAAAATATATATGATTAGGTGCTCTTAAGTGCTCAAGAGAAGGAAAAAGCAGAGAAGGGTCATGAGGAATGTTTAACGGGTTGTGCTTTAAGATAGGGAGGCCAGGGAAAGCCTCACTGAGAAGGTGGCATTGGAATAAAGGCAGAGGTGATGAGATATGCAGATGGATATTTAGGAGAAGAGAATTCCAGCAAAAGGGAAGAGCAAATTCAAAGGCCCTGAAGCAGCAACATCACTGGTGTATTGGAGGAATGGCAAGGAAGCCAGGGTGGCTGGAATGTAGGGAGTCGAAGGGGAGAATGGTAAAGGATGAGTCAGAAAGGGAACTGGAGACTAGCGACCACAACTCATCAGCCACTATATAGGTTGTGGCTTATGCTCTGATAGAATGGAAGGTTTTGAGCAGAGCAGTGACATTGTCTGGCTTACATTTTAACAGGATTACTCTGGCTCCCGTTGAGGATAGACTATGGTGGGAGAGCAAGGAAGAGGATCAGGATCAGAGAGACTAGGTCAGAGACTATTGTCTTTATTTTGGCGTGAGATGATGGCAGCTCCTTTAAGCAGAAAGCAGTAAAAAAGATGATGGCAAGGAAATGGACGGACTTCTCTGCACCTTAGTTTCCCCACTTATTAAAAAGGGAGAGTCATAGCTGGGGTTGTTGGAAGGTGAGGGGTAATGCATGCCAGGGCCAAGCACATATCAGGCGCCTCATGAATGCTACATCAGCTCGGGTTCAATTTATCCGGATCACCTCCTTTTTTTTCCCCCCCTGTCCTTTGCTAGTCTAATTGCAATAACATTGTGCTCTCATAATACTATTTTTTTAACCTCTATCTTCACACTTACACTTGATGTTGACATTGTCCTTTTGCTACACCATACTACAACATTCTTTTGGGCGGGTATCACATCTTATTTCTCTAATGTTATCAGCACCTACTACATAGCTGGGCATCCCGTAGGCTGTATGACAAGTCTGACGTGAGCATCCTATCGGGTGGTTGAAAGAGGGACTGTAAGGTCCAGTGGCAAATATCTCTCTTCACTCATCTCTAACATGTATGTATTATCATTATGCTCTCCTTGTTTTCTTTCCAATTAAAATAATATCTAGAAGGGTATTAATTTTCTTGGATGTGGGGAGAAGGGTGATAGTAAAGAGTTAATGAAAGAGAGAGAAACAGCAGAAAGAACACTAGGTGAGGTTCCAGAAAAATCTAGGTTCTAACCCAGATCTGCCGCTTAGTGGATGTGTGACCCAGAGTAAACCATTTAACTTCTCCAAGCCCCAGATTTCACATAAGAAAATTGAAGATAATTACATTTGTCCTAATTTTGAGAGTTAGGAGAGTCAAATGAGACCTCTAAGGTATGTGAAAGAACTTTGTGGCATATCCAGAACTAAGTCAGAAGGCATTGTGCATCCGAGAACTATAGTACAAGACACACAGTAATATTACCTGTTGTATTAAACTGAAGAGTGAACTATTGGATGTTTGATAGTTTGTAAGTAGCTCACTTTTATGATGTACTGAAAATCATGTGCGCTTGCATGCTGTGTATTAATTCTTTTACACAAAGATTAAAAAATGTAGAGTCACGTCGTGAAAGATTAAACCAAACTCAAGATTGCAAGCATAATTCTAACTCTGAGAGTATGTTAACAAGTCCACATTTGTACTTACCTCCCTGTGGAAAGAACTGCGAGTAAATCTCTTTGAAGGTTTCTTCATTAACAACACCACTGGGGCATTCCTAGAGAAAGTGGTAGAAAAGCAATATAAGCAAAGTGTTCATACAGTTGATTTTTTTCTCATTTTGAAACAAACTATTTTGCAAAGCTGCACCAAAGAAGTTAACCACCCATCCACTATTACAAAGAGAATAAAAGCACACTATAAGCTTCTCTTTGTTCCAGTTCTCACTGAATGAAGAAAAAATTGCAGATATAAAAATCTTTGCATAGTATAAGTATCAAAGTTGGTCTGGCACATTCAAAAACACACCGCCACTTTCAAGAACACATATTTATTATCAACAAGGTAAGAAGAAATTACGTTGTTTTTCATACAGCAAGGACGTTCCAAGATGCTGACGATATGGTTTGCTGGATCTTGGGGCTTTGTTCTCTGGAGATTTGCTGGAAGCACATAATCTTTAGTTCAGTAAGAAAATGGTGTGCTCCATTTGGGTCTAAGGTGGTCTAAGAAATTTCAAGCAGGACTAGTTCTTAATTTCTGTTAACAGGTTGTTCAGTAGTCCACAATAACATGGTTTGTAACAAGAGACCTTGAATGAGACAGGACCCCACGATTCTTTGAATTTCTGAAGAGGAGGGTGTGAAAAGAAACAGGCCTGAATGTAACGAATTCCCACCTTTGTCCTATGGGTGAAGTTATTTAAGGCGGATGGATACTGCCTTGGGAACTCCACTAATGTTGGGCTACTGACCTGGCAGACTAGAGGGCAAGGCTACCCTGCTGAGAGTGGATTGGGTATTTTCTGTAAAAGGAACTGAAATCTAACATGTGAGGAGAAGTCTGCCTCGGTGCCAAAGATGAGGACTAAGCAAATCGACCTTCGACTGAGGTGAGGGAGAAACTTCGTCCGCGCTTTGGAGTTACAAGCACAGTCTGGTCAGGAATCTGAGGTGTAGAGACTCCTGGAGCAGTGGAGGCTGACAATCACGTAACAATCCGACATCCGATCACATGTGGTATGTTAATTGGACATCGAGGGTGGGAAAGTAATAAGCTCTGTCCAGTCCTTTTGAGTAGCTTCTCATCAACAGTCCCGTCTCACCTGAGCTCCTTGCTCCGGTTGTCACAGCAGCCCCGCACCACCTGGCACACGCCCAGAATTCACGGAGGGAGAATCAGGGGTATGCTAACTTCCCTGACTTTAGACATGAATACTCTGTGTATTTTAAAGTTGACACTATTCCTGGGATCTTCAACAATCATCTGTTGTGGTCTGTAAAGCTTCTTTTAACCCTTAAAATCATTGTCCACTCAAAAATTTGATTTATTAATTTGATCTTTCTTTATTCTGATGAGCCAGTTACTCACAACTGTAATGTGCTTCACATAAGGAATTTTCTATTTTCTCATTGTTGATTTGAAAGGTAGGACCTCTGATACATAAACAAAATTGAAATTAATAGTTTCAATATGATGTTGAGTTTACAGAGCTTGTCAATGTATGTTTCTCCCATTTGATTGTTATAATGAACCTACGACTTAGGTATCTCTGTTCACTGAAGCAGAACTGGAGGTTCTGCGGTAAAGTGACCTGTTACCCAGCTGGCCAGTGGGAGAGCTGGCATATGGGCTTGGAACTTTCCACGTCATCACAAGGTTTTGGATCAGGTAAGGTCTGTGGAAATAATGATCCCAAGGATCTAAAAGGATTAGAACAAAGAAAAGACAAACAAAAACAAATGAGCCAAAAAAAAAAGAGAAAGCAAACTGTGATGGTTAATTTTATACGTCAACTTGTCTGACCCATGATGCCCAAGTGTTTGGTTAAATATTATTCTGGGTATTTCTGTGAGGTTGTTTTTGGATGAGATTTACATTTAAATCAGTGGACTTTGAGTAAAGCAGATTGCCCTCCATAATGTGGGTGGGCCTAATCTAATCAGTTGAAGACTTGAGTAGAACAAAACGATGACCTTCCCTGAGGAAAACGGAATTCTCCAGCATGGTCTTTGGGCATGATCTCCAACATCGGCTCTTCCTGGTTCTGCAGCAGACTGCCTTTGGTCTTGAACTGCAACTTCTTCCTGAGTCTCCATCCTGTCTGCCTCCACTATTAGATTTTGGACTGACTAAGCCTCTACAATACCATAAGCTAAATACTTAAAGTAAATCTCTTTCTGTGTATTGATTCTGTTTCTCTGGAGAATCCTGACTAATATACAAACAAATGACATATATACAATTCCAAAGAAGAACAAAAGATGACACATATATAGCTAATTACTCCAAAGTTTTAGCTAAATGACTATTATTTGGCAGCAACAGAACCAATTTTAAGAACAAACAAACACTTTGTAGTTGGGCCCTTTCTTGCATGGAAATTGTGATTTATTGGCTATTTAACTCTGAGCCATCTGCTTGGGATGGTAAGAAGAGAACAACTACATGGCTCGCTGCCATCAGGGGGTGAATTTGTGCAAGGTCAGAGCTGGAAACTTGCCTTGGAGTTAAAATGATGCCAGCAAGGGATGAAGATAAGACGTGAAGGGACATCTGTGTGCAGCAAACTTGTCATCTGCCTTTGGTATCTAGATGTGTATGATAGATATATCTCCTAAGGTGAAATAGAACATAGAAATCGACTGTCTCATGTGTATTTGTTTTATGTTTAATTACATGTCTATGTCAGATGAAATCCTTTCTCTGCTAGCTGAAAGCTCCTGCTCAAGTTTTAGGGTGGTAAGTCTCACCAGGTGAATTTGTCTTTATCCATTTCACATTCATTACATTAATTTACATCTTCAACCAATACATCTTGCATGGTTATTACTCTAGGAATTTTTCTAGGAACTGGGGCAGGAGCAATAAACAAGTCAAAAAATAAACAAGCAATAAACAAGTCTTTCCCTCACGAGGCCTACATACAAATAGAAGAAAAAGATTAAAAAATGTCAAAGACAAATGTCAAATGTCAAAGATGATAAAACTATCAATCCAGACAGCAGTGATTTTTTTATTTATTCTAAACATTCGCATGGGAAACCAACGCATTTTACTACCTTAAGGTGAAAAAAATTAGTCAAGTTGTATAGGATTCTACTGATTGACAAAATGGTACAATGGCCTCTTCTCTATCTTTTCCTCACATCTTTTGTGGACTGGTTCTTGCACAACAATGGTATAACCACCTCTCTATTGAGAATGAATCTGACGAGCTCGTGTGAACAGCTAAGCGTAGACTATAAACAAGGTGACTGTATTAGTCAGGTTAACTCTTGCTGCTGTAATAAAGAGGCCCCCAAATATATAACAAATTAAAAGGAATTTGCTCATCCAACAGATTTGGGTGGGTGTACAAATCAGTTGATGGTTCTTCTCAGAGTCATTGATGGACAGAGGCTAATGAAACCTTGGCTGTCTTCATGTGGCTTCTGAGGTCTCTGTGATTATCTCATCCAGAGGAGAAAAGGATGATTGAGGAGTGTGCATGGGAGGTGTTTATGGAACAGGTCTTGAAGTGGTACCCACTATTTCCACTCTCATTTTGTTGCCTATAAATCACTTAATATGTCTACCCCAAACAACAAGAGAAGTCTCGTGTGCCCAGGAGGAAGGCTAGAACACAGATTTGGTGAACGTTTAGCAGTGCCTGTCTCAGAGGCTTATTTGAAATATACTCCAAATGTCTGTGCTCTGAAGTAGTTCTCCCACCAAAACTTTACCATGACCATCATCAAAACATTTAACAGTGTAAGTTCTTTTCATTTCCCTTGGAGTCATTTTCAAAGGATGATATTTTCTGTTGACCACGTCCAGCAAGGCCTGAACATCTAAGTAGGAATTCGCTTATCAGGTTTTCTTCACTCTAAGAAGGATCCAAGAAGCAGTAGCATTCCCTGCTTTCAGGAAAGTGAAGAAAGCCTCACTCACCTTTTTACTTTGAGAAGTTACTATAACCTTCTACAAGCCCTTATGGTTTCTATATTATATTTTCCAAAGACGTTTTGTCTGATTATTAACAAATGATTATTCTGTGAAAATATGTTGTCTATAGAAAAAAATTATAGTAAATAAAAATCATAATTTTACTACTGTAAGACTGCTTAGGTCATTCATCTAAGCATATATTAATATACCGTGCAAATAAAATTGGAATAATACAAGAATAGAGCATTGCATCTTATTTTTTAACTTTACAAAATATCCTGAACATTTTCGATCTCACGCTTTTTAATGGCTGCATAGTAATGTATCCATTGTATTTACCATATTGTTGGATATTAAAGGGATTATAGCATTTGGAGACTACACAAGAATAATGATGTAATTAATATTCTAGTGCATATGTCTGTGACTACACCTGTAGTTCTTTCTTTACAACTATTCCCAGAAGGAGAATCACAAGGCCAAAGTGTTTAAATCATTTTAAGGCTCTTCAAATGCGCAGTCATGTTATTTTCCAGAAAGACTGTACCAATATGTGTTACCACTACCAGTCTATGAGAAAGTTTCATGTCTAGAAGGGCTGCTGACCAGAATCACATGGAGATTTGACACGCACCGAATGCCATGAACAAACAGCAATAATTTGCTTCCATCGTGAACCTAATCGTTATTCTGAAAATTATCAGAGGACATCAAGGCATTTGTACAGATCTTTCCAGGGGATAAAGTGATGTACCTGTTTTTCATGCAGACAACGATGCCTTGATGGTCTATGAGACCACATTACCACAATAACAGTGGTTTATTGAGTGGATATTCAATGCCTTCTTACATACATCATCTCTTTTACCATTTTCACTAAGCCTGAAAGGTGAGGATTATTTAGAGATGAGTAAAATCAAACTTGGAGAGAATAAAATTAAGTAACTTATTTGGAGTCACACAGTTTTTAGAGATCCATCCACTTGTTTATTCTTCCCACGAATAGTTATTTAGTGCCTTCCATGCATCAAGCACTGTTAGGGCACTGAAGATATAGGAGTGGGTTAAGAAAATATTCCATTTTTGCTCTTATGGAATTTAAAGTTGAATGGAATCAGACTCATATCT